TAAAACGAGTAAAAAGCAAAATTCCCACATGTGACACGTGTCAACGTCGATTATGCCATCACTCTATTCTCCGTCTCACTCTCAGACAAAGACCAGTGTTTACGTCACCCACATACACATGCACACACGCGGGCGCTCGCACACGCACCANCTGTTAGTCATTGTCCTACTGTAGATTGTCACGTGACGCATGATCCACTAAGTAAAGCTACGTGCTCTGAACTATACGTGTTCTGTGCTTTGTCCTCCGGGCTATCTACGGGTTAACCTGATTGAGACTGTAACACCACAATACGTCACAAGGTTTCTAGTGAGAATGCCAATAAGATCGGGTTACCTTTACCCAAGGGATTTTAATATTCACGGATGCCGCATTTAGCCTTCGCCAACGGCTCGCTAGCAGTTTGTCTCAGGCGTGGCACGAAGAGGCCAAAGCAAAAAATGTTCAGTACTGAGCAAACTTCAATTTACACAGAGAACACGTTCGAAAATTTTCAGGGATCATTCACGATCAGACAAAGGTTTGCATCTTTGGATAGGTAAACTCTGCTCGGATTGGATCTACGACGAGGTCGAACTTATTGATGAACCCATAATGCAACATTGTGCTGGGTCGTTTCTTTCAGATCTCCATCAAACCCACGGCTTTTCGTCCGGCTTGACTTATACCAACCAAACATCTTTTTAGCCTCCCAAGCACTCATTTCCGTACGCACAATGCAAAACTAAGTCCATGTGATGATGATTGCAAAACCAGTAATCCGCACGGAAAGTATATTCTTTAGTTAGACACAACTTAGCAGCACTATGATCAACAACCAAAGCAAAGCCATGTCAGCAGCAGCAGCCAACCAATAACAACCACACTCCCGTGCAATCTGATTGGTCAATGGAACCAAAATACCGCTGTACGAACGTGTCATGTGGGTGTGTGCATATACATCAAGCGTTCATGGGAGATGTACACGAACGAGATATCCAACAAATGCATATTAAACCATTTAACAGCGATGGTACCTGCATTATATTTTGTCTCCGTGCTCCTATGTGTGAATGAGTCGGCTTCATGGGGTCTTATATGCGGAATCTTGGGAAATGTAGAGTGGAATCCGTAAAGCAACTCGGTTTTTTCTTCAAGGGTGTCCCCTTAGCTCTTACACAATCACGCGCTAGCTGGAGTGCAACGAATTTAAAGCAATGGACTTATGTAGACCAGAGCAGACTGATACACATACGGTGCTTTCAATTGAAAGGAAAATCGTTGATCATCGACAAACTGACAAGTAAAGAGCTATCAAGGCCTGTGATACATTCTCTAATCTTCCGCTACCGTTTATTCGTCGAAGCAACGACTATTTGTTAGCGATTAACTCTTCAGGTGGCCTTCTTCTTATAGGCGACTAGGTAGTGTACAGCTTCGATGGCAACACGACAGAGTAAATCAGACAAATCCGGGATCGACGATTCATGCAGGACTCCGTCCACTATCTACGAGCTACGGCGATCAGTTTCAGATAAGAAAATCTGAAACCCTCACGTTCTCATCATTACTATTCCTGAACAACACCGAGAATCACACCTAAGTTTGCGGATGCCTCCGAAAGCCTCAGTATGGTCGGGGGTGGGTGTCCAGGGTTGCTGCTGGTCACTCTTCCCTTGCATTTCGCGAAATGCTCCCATATGAAGAAGCGTCTCGAAAAGCTTCTGCTGAGGAAGCCCAACTCACTGCATTCTCGTGGTGGTCTTCCCATCAAAGTGCGAGGAGGAAAAGCCGACATCCGGGGCTATAAACGAGTTGGTGGACCACTAGCAGTTCATCTAGGGGAGTGGGCAAAAACCCTGATTCCAAAACAAACAGGAGGGGCCGTATGAACCACATCCACATCTTTCAAGTTATGGCAGTGGTCACCGGCTCAATCGGGTATCGAGGTGTATTGGGCACCTTAGACGTTTGACCCCGTCCAAAGGGCGTATGACCCAATGAACTGGACACCGGCCCCAATTGATTGCGATTTCCGCACACCTCCCCGCTGCCTTGCGGGTTAGGTTTTGGCTAGACAAAGGCTGGCTTGTGGATTCGTCAGGAAAATTCACCTGCCTTGACCTTAGCAACCTGGCAATATTCAGTCAGTAAGCCAACCATGGAACCCTTTTTATAAATCATCATCGTACAGCGAAATACAGAGAAGCGAACTTCACTGATCACTGCCAAACTCGCAGTGCACATGCACTAGGGTTTGATGGACTGGTACTGCTAGGGTGTCCAGCCATTAAGCAGGAGAACAACTAGGGTTCTCAACCAAAGCCCTTAGTTCTGACAAGAACCTAACCGCAAGGCAGCGGGGGAAGCGAAGTGGAGGCCCGTTTACTTGGATTGATTACTCTTCCACTATTTTTTACCGACTGAAACACAAATTCTGGTCGAACCCCCAACCTGGAGGACCAAGAGACTGGACTTCATCTGACCTCTACCTTTCGACCTTCCAGGCGTGATTAGATCTTCAGTTTGAAAAAAGCCATCCTGTGTAGCTCGTTGGGTCAGAGGTGCACAAACCATCACACCACGTCAAGGTGCAGTCTCGTGATGGTTTTTTGTAAAGATTATTGAAAATAATTTGCTTAACACACAGTCTGTCCTCAGACAAGTGTGAAATATAATATATCCTCGTTTTTCTGTACCGTTTTTTGTTTTTCATCAAAACGATTTTGTAAATTTAGGTTGGGACCTATCAAACATCGGGTATTCTTTCGATTTAAATCTGTTCATTTGTGAAACTCAACCATATGTAAATATTCTCATTCAAAGTTCACCCGAAGAATTATTCACAATTTATGGGCGGTAGGGGACAAGCGGTAAAGGTTACCAAATTATCACCCCGGATGACGTGTGTTCGAATCATTTTGTGCGCAATGTTGGGACCTTTTGATCAGCCGCTTCACTCTTCCTGAAAATTGTATGATGTATATTCAATTAAAGTAAGTAGAATAAAATATTACTAAACATATAAATCTCCTGTAGTTCTCGTTTTTAAACGAGTGCCGAAGTAAAAATAATTGTCCCACATTCTCTTGTCCGCCGCATGGATTGTAGCAAATGAGGGTAGCACTTAAACTTGGTCGGTTTCGGAGTATATGATCTTTTGTAGCAGGACCTGTAGGATCTTAACACGTGCTGCATAAAAATTAGCATATTTTTTAATGAAATAAAAGCATGTGAGCCCACACGAGCCACACTGATTTAAGATATGCCTAATATGAAGCTACCACAGCTGACTTTATTTTATGCACCGACCATTTGCATGTGTGATCCTCGTTGACGAAAAACCCATTCTGTTTAACGAGTAAACGAAAATTCACCAAGCATCAACGGCAGATTCTTAATGCAGTGCCAAGAAAGACGTGTGGATCATCAGAAAATGTTTCCTGAACTTTCCCGAATACATACGAACGCGGGTAAAAATAAGCATTTGAGTCAAGTCTCCCACCGAATACTACAGAATTAGGCACTGAATTGAAGTCATACGAACATAGAAACGTGGGGGACTACGCCATAAATGAATGGCAACAGGTAAAAAAATGGGCTATTTTTTAATGAAACCGCGCTCGTGAAATAATAATAACAATAACAATACAATGATTGCAAGTAAGCACAAAATCGATGAAATGCAAAGCGGCTGCAATAAAATGAAATGTGATGAAACCGGTCACGTGTACGAATCAAAGAAGATAAACAAAATGAGTGGAGAACAGGGATGTGAATGAAAGAAAACCATGATCATCTGGCATCATTTCAGCAATGCCAGTGTTGAAGAGGCTGTGGTGCCAAATTAGTGCGTTTAGTCCGGTTGAAAGCAATAGAAAATATCAGCTGCGGATGGTAGATCCATAAGAGTGAGATATAGGTATAAGTCACCAAGTAGCCAGTGATCTCTATACAGCGGAGATTATTGGAACGGGAGGAAAGCAGAGAAATTACATAAATGCAAATTGCCTGAAACAAGTTCGACGGCGATGAGAATGATGAAGGTGAATCGGGATCAGTGAATAAGACCTAGAGCGGTATCAATGAACGTTGTGCACCGTGAAGGAAGAGATAGACAATATAAATGAGAAAATCAAAGTACAGTATGGATGTGGGTGAATGTGGAAATCAAAATTACTGAATCAAATATCTTTGCACGAACCGTGGTGCCCTGGGAAGGGGGAGAAGAACGGCGTACATAAGCCGACATAAAGGGGCGGGAATAAGCAGCTGCCAACAACGGCACTGAGAACAGAGAGTCACAGGCCGGACGATCCAGTCAAATGGGAGCACAGCACTTGAAGC